AAAAAAAAAAAAAAAAAAAAAAACTGTCGGAGTGGCCTTTTTGACCTTTGAACGTGCTGGGTTATATCTGCTACCCTCCTCCTCCGCCTCCTCTTGTCTCCTCCTAGCCGGTCCGTCCCTTCTCCTCGTCTTCCTCCCACTCTCTCGTCGTCGTCCTCCTCGCTCTCTCTCTTCCCCCCTCCTCCTCCGCCTACTCATCATCCCTCTTCTTTCTCTCCTCTTTCTCCTCCTCGCCGCTCTCTGTCCCTTCGCCTCCCCCTCTTCCCTCCCTCCCTTCTCCTCTCTCCTCTTTTCTGCACTTTCTTCACCCCTCTCGTCTCCTCGTCCTCTCCTCGTCATGGTCCTTCCCGCCATCTCCGTCCATCTCCTCGCTCTCCTCCTCCCTCCTCCACAGCCTCTCTCCCCTCTCCTCCCTGTTCCCCCTGCTGCTCCTTTTCTTTGTTGTTTTTTTTCTGCCCTTGTTTATTTCAATTTGCTCCTTTTCGTTGTTGTTTTTCTTTTTTTCTCCCCTTGTTTATTTCAATTTGCATACACCTGTATTCACTCTCCCTTATTTACCTCCTCCATACTTCTGCATTTACTTTTCATGTGCTTTTTGCCATCACTTATATTCCGTTTCCACTAGCCGATCCCACGGATCGAATCCACGGCCTTCCACATGGGAGTCGAACGCTCAACCAAACGGCTATAAGCTGACTGGGCTCAAAGTTAAGGCCTAAGATTGCAGGGGCGAGGTCCCACTAGCAAAGCGGATTGGATTGAACACCTGAATCTGGACTTCTTTGTGGAAAGGTGCAGACTGTCGAGAATGAACTGCTTTTCCGAATCTCTGCTTAAAACACGTCCAGATTCAGGATATTTATCCAACCCTCTTTGCTAGTGGGACCTCTCACCCCAGGATATCAACAGATGGGCTTTTATTACTTATTCGTTTTTTTCTTCAATTCTTTTCTTTCATCTAAAAAGATTTCCATCACTTGCTGGAGGTTACCTCTTCATGCCTCTTTTTCATTTGACGTCCCATTTTAAATTTCCTACTTGCCTTTATGGGTTCACTCTATAATGCATATCCTAGTCTCACTTTTTTCATTTGTAATACCTGAAAATGAAAAAAAAAAAAAAAAGGAAAAAGGAGGGGGGGGCGGAAAACGAACCCGACCATCACTGCAAGAGTCGTACTAGAGCAATCGATCGCTTTCTCCGCTCCGCAGCACTGTCCCCCTTCCCTCTCCTCCGCGTCGCTCTACTTCTCACGTCTTCCTCATCATCGTCACCGTCGAACTTGTCATCTTCGTCGTTATCCTCCTCCTCTTCCCTCCCTCTCCCTCCTCTACCCTCTTCCTCCCTCCTCGCCCTCCTTCTCCGCATTTCTCCTCTTCCTTCCTCCTCTTGTCGTTATCCTCCTCTTCCCTCCCTCTCCCTCCTCTACCCTCTTCCTCCCTCCTCCCCCTCCCTCCTCTACCTTCTTCCTCCCTCCTCCCCCTCCTTCCTCTACCCTCTTCCTTCCTCCTCCCCCTCCCTCCTCTACCATCTTCCTCCCTCCTCCCCCTCCTTCTCCGCATTTCTCCTCTTCCTTCCTCCTCTTGTC